TAAATATTTTATTTTAACAGTCCAATCGTTTTCCTGTGATTAAGGGTTTCATGAGGTTCAATCAGAAAAAAAGTCAAATTAAAATAAATGATTCATTTTAAAACTAAAACAAACAAAATAAAACTGTTACTAAAAAAATAAAACATTGAATTTAATTCATTTTATATTTCAATAATTAAATCAGAAAAATCCAATTAAAAGCAAAACCAAAGCAAAAATAGACCTACTAAAAAGATTAAACATTTAAATTACTGTTTTATTATTTTAATACTTGAAAGAATCAGGGTAAGTATAATCTTAAGCTGCTTCAAATTGTAAATCAACCGTGTTAAAAGGAGTAAAGATCTGATTGTGGCCTTGATCAAGCTTCAGAAAGATTTTGGTATGTTATGCTGAGGAGTTGGGATATTTTTGACCTCATCCCTTATATATATATATATATATTTTTATTTTTATTTTTTTTTTTAAAGGAAGTAAAACCAACAACAAAAAAAGAACTATTTAAATAAAAAATAATATATATATTTGAAATATTAATAAATACTAGTATATAAATAATACTAGAAAAATATATTGCACTATAATTAGCAGATTAAATATGTTTGTGCTGAGCACAACTAGAAAACTTCAAAATTTCAACACTTTTAAAAGTTGAAAAAAAAGTTTTTTTAGGATTTCAATAATTAAATCAGAAAAATCCAATTAAAAGCAAAAGCAAAACCAAAGCAAAAAAAGACCTACTAAAAAGATTAAACATTTAAATTAATGTTTTATTATTTTAATACTTGAAAGGAAAATTAAAATTTAAATGAATCATTTTAAAATAAAACAACTACTAAATAAAGGTGAAGTATATTTTGACAGTCCAACTGCTTTGCTCTAATGTAGGGTTTCACAGCGTTTGTCAATTGATGAAGAATAAATTAAATCAGACAAAAATCTAATTAAAATAAATAATTAAATTTAAAAATAAAACAAACAAAACAAAACACACTAAAAAGATTAAATATTGAATTTAATTAATTTATTTAATATTTTCATAATTAAATAAATGTCATGTCATGCAGCCATTAACCGAGAACAGTGAACGTGAATATGTTGTTAAATTACAGAAATATTAGAATTTGAAAATTTCCTGCAACATTCCCATGTTTTGCGTGAGCGTGGGAATGCTGTGAGCCGATGAACCAGCCGTGTGTCACATATTGTCTCAAATACAGTCAGCTGTGACTCAACGAGCACTTCCTACATCTCACAATGTGTCACATCTCCACTTCCTGTCTGGCTCTGTGTAAATAGTGGCCTGTAAATGAGGCTTCAGCACTTTTCAGCGTGTAAGAGTGTGACAGTATAACAGTTTGATCCAGCTCACAACACATGTGGAGAACAGGAGCTGAGCCAATCTGAGTACCAAACATCCAACTCACTCTTCATACCAACAGAGGCAGGAAACTCATCAAGAAATATATGATCCTCATTCTGAAATAGAGCAACATACAAAATTAATATTTCAGTCAGAGAAGCAGCATCTGTTCTGCAGTCTGGATTTGCATCTGCAATCACCATTTCTCCACTTATTTTATAGACATCTGTTGTAGAAACTGTTTTCTCTTGTCTTAATGAAGCAGACAGAGGTCATTAAAGCAATAGTTACCCAAAAATGAATATGATACACACCCTCGGGCCATCCACAATGCAGATGAGTTTGTTTCTTCATCAGATTTGGAGAAATGTTG